CAAGTGCTTTGACAGTGTTAAAGAGAGCTGCCTCACCAAACAAAAGTATATCAAGCCACAAACAACAATTGAAGCTTCATTTTCCTCCCAGTAAAGACATTTAAGGATCGTCAGCTTTCTTTTGTTGTTATTTCACTGGCTGAAATTTAGTTCCAGTGCAAATCTGTTTTCATGTAACTACGTCACATGCTGCAATTAATATTAAAAGTATTCTAGAGAGAAAGTAAATGATTTCGGTGTCATTAAGCTTTTTAACACTTTCATTTGATCAAAAGTTAGCTTTGAGGCGCATGTCATGTATGTTTGTAATGAGACTGAAGTCATGCGAGCAGCTATGTGAGGCTGTATTTAGGCCCAGTGGTGCTGTGAGATAAATGCAAAATAAGTTCAGACAGAGGCAGGCAGACAAAAGCATCTTTTAATTCCAGCTGGTTATCGTGATCTTCTCCAACAGAAATGTCACTAACAGATTTAATCAGTTGGAGATAGCTAATTAAGTAATGTTAGCTGCATGAGTTGTTTCAAGATGACTTGCTTAAAAAAACTTACCTGAGATAAGTTATCAGGTCTAAATTTGAACTGGTGCAATAGTTGGCTGTAGACAGTTATGGTCTTTCTACGACTTGTACTTGACTGATTGTGTCAGTTTAAATTGTTCCTATCCATCAAAGTAACCACACTTTTTTCATTTCGTGGTAATCTCTATGCAAAGCGTCTTTGAATTTTTTTCTTTGAGCAGTCAGTGTGTACTGAACACAAGAATAGCGTGACGTCTCTGTGTGGACGCAGATTAAGTGTAATCTACTACCAAACATTAGCATATCTTCTCATCCACTGTCATAAACGTGTTCTGTATAAATCAGCCTCTACAAGCTTGTTTGATCTCTGAGGAAGTCCGTCTGGTTTCCACTGCTGCACAAACGCGAAGACACCTGTAAACGAGGTGGTATTTTTTTTCCTTGTTTATACTTATTTTATATTAATTTTACGCTTTTACCTTTACAGTTGACAATGAAACTTCAGCGAGTACTTATTTGCAGCACTGCTGTTATTGTTATATGTAGTGTACATGAAGTAAATGTTTTCAACAGTTTGATTTAAATTTGTGATTATTGTTTAAAACTTGATGTAAAACTTTTATAAATGAAAAAAATATTATTTTTCTGTCAAAACATAGGTACCACAGCCATGATCTGGGTATTGACATCACTTCTAGGCATATTCAAGATTTCTCCATTAACAATAAAGATAGATTTTAGAAAGAAAAAGCAAAACTTCATAACTAGCTTCATTAATATCATAGCTCTGAACATTTTGGAAAAATTATTTCTGTAGACTTTATAGTTTTAGTCTTTTTTACTGAGTCAGATATTAAAATATACAAGGGTATCCTTTGAACCAAGTGGGTGTAAGAAAAAGTCCTGCTCTGATGTTGATGGTTGTTTCTCTCTCCTCTGACCTAAAGACACAGAGTTTGACGATGACGTCCATGAAGATGTGGTATCTTTGCTCCTCGCTGCCTTCCTGCCCATTGTTCCCACAGTGGCTGAAGTTGTTGAGTCGGTGTCCGACTGTGACCAGTTTCTCCTTGAAGCAAAGCCACCACATGTCCCAGGCATCTTGGAGGGCGGGAAAATAGGCCAGACCCGATACAAATTAATTTGTCAGACTTATAAAAATGAGAGAAAGTTTCTGACGCTCTACGACACAGAGAACATGATTCCTGTGTTTTCTGCCTACAAGTACACAGGGAAACAAGAGGGGTTAAAATTCAACAGACCAAAAAAATGGATGATAGAGCCACAGGTGTGTTTTTCTTATTTACAAATAAAAAACTAAACAAACTAAAACAATAAAACTAAAAAGTAATTGCTGCTAATCCATTTACGCCATCAGTTGAAATGCTACTCTTACCTACTAAACAATAATGTGTTGCACAGTGAGGCTCAGTGGTGTGTCTTAATAGTTTTTGGACATCCTTGGAGCTTTATGGCTCAGAGGAAGAAGAGATATCAGGCTTAGCCTTTCTGTGCAGCTTTACATAAATGCTAAAGGATATTTTTACTGTACGTTTACTTTATTGCTACTCTACCTGGATCAGTAACTTAGTCTTTAACTCTTACAGCTTGAGAATAAAGATGACCCGAACAAGACATGGCAAACGACAACGGCAAGACCTACAAGAACCAGGCTGTGGAAAAGGATTACATAGACAAAGACAAAAAATTTAACAGGGGCCATATAATTCCAAGCTCATATGGGTTAACTGAATCTGACAAAAACTCAACCTTTACCCTGACAAACATCGTTCCACAAGCAATATCATTCAACAGCGGAAGCTGGAGCAGCATGGAGCAGTGCATCAAATGTATTATGGACGAATACTGCAAAGACAACAACGCTGTTACTAAAGCCTATGTTGTAACTGGAGCAATACCCAACCCAAGCACCGACCCCAACACCAAACTAAATAAGAGGGTTAATATTCCTGACAAGCTCTGGTCAGCATTCTGCTGCTACGACTCCAAAAAGAAGAAATGGATCGCAAGCGCGCACTGGGGTGACAATGTTCCTGATAAACCTGAACGCAAGTATCTGCCCACCATCACTCTGCAAAAACTTCAGGAAGAACTGAAGATAGTAGCCTTTCCTGAAACACAGTGTCCTCTCCAAACAACCGTTAGTGAGTTCTACAAAACCCAAGCAAAACACTGCCAATGCCAGAAAACTTAACCACTTCTTCCCCTCCCTTAACTTCTGCCGCTTTGACACACACATCTATACTCACATCTACATCTGTACTCACATTCTTCCTGTATGAGGAAAATATACAACTGAAAAATTGGGACACCCAAAGCCTTCAATCTGTGATTATTCAGTTAGTATGTTTACTATTGAATGACACTTTCAAAATTGATCAGCAACTAACATGTACGCATATAAAATTAACGCATCACCTTAATGTTAAAAATTATTCAATGCAGAATTAACAACCAGAAAATTGTTCAGTCACAAATGGTTGAATATTCAGACTGAGCAGTTTTTCTTTTACTTTTGTACTTTTTGTTTGATTTCATTTGTTATGATGACGGGACACTGGATAAAATAAAGTGTCCTTTGCGTGGCTTCAGATTTATTTATTTTACAGGGACAATGCACATTAATCAACACTGTAGTAAACTAGTGCTAGTGGCTACATGTCTGATGTAGTATCAGATGGAAGACAAATGTACATGATTTGTAGGATGTGAATGAAATAAACTGCAGACGCCTGATACTCTGTGTGAAGTTGTGATTTTATCTTCAGAGCAGTGGTATAGTCTCGTTTTTGTAGTGAGTAAACCATGATTTTTCCCTCCCAGCCTCATACTCACCTGTCCCAGAGCAACACCACACTCACTACTGCATACATATGCATCTTCATGTAATTGACAGCATTCTGAAAGATTTCTAATGTGTTATCAACATGCTAGTTTATTATAAGCAACACAAGACTTTAACAGCCAATGACATTTGGGGAGACTGGTCTGATTTTCTACCGTTTAGTATTAATCACCATCTAACTCAGCCAGCTAAGAGAAACTTTTAAACCTTAGATGTTACATGAATCTGGTCCCTGGAGCACAGGTTTTTATCAGCTGGTAATTTTTAATGCACATATAAGAGTGCAAGTTGCAACTACTATTAACAATAATGGATACTACTACTACTAGTAATAATTATTATATTACTAGTAGTAATAATAATAATCAGTAGGAGTATTAACAACAAACATTTGTGCAGATCTATCACCAACATACATTTATCACAGAATATTATTTATTCTCCTGCAAATTAGCAGAGAATAAAATGATCCAGCTGTAGCTCTGTGTCTGTCCTCTCTGCTCCACCTGAAGCAGCTGTGAGCTGCACTTTATCAGAGGCGCTGAAATCAACTTGTGTGGATTTGTGGTGAGGTCATCACCTGACAGGCAGAGAGGAAGCATTATACACATTTCATTTCAAAATCTATGTTTTGCCCCCCCCCCCCTCTTTCCTAATGTAAAGTTTTTTTGCGCATTGCCTTCCTGGCTCAGGCTCATATAGGAGGCGGTTTAAGTGACCATCAATCACTCACACACTCCACATCAGTCGCGGACAAAATGTATAGAAATGTTGAGGGAGAAAAAAAAGTTGCTCGAGGCCGGTGCAGCTTCTTCTTCTTTGTGCTGCTGTTACTTCTAGCTGAAGGCAGCAGGGGTGGGTACATCTAATGTAGGACTGCTCTTAATTTCGCTACATTTTCAATACCTTTTATAACTTAACCAGTCTGTAATCTGCATTTTGCTTCATTAACTGAAATGATCATCCAGGCTGTGTGCGCGCAGTTACGCAGTAAAGCGCTGGTCGGGCGCTTGTCACAGTCACAGAGCTGGGCAGATGCAAAGGTGAGTCCATAATGTCGCGGGTGAAACTAATCTTTCACTCAGCAGCTACCTGCTGTTATTTGATTTTTCAGATGCACAGAGAGAGAGAGAGAGAGAATATGGTGGACAGTCGTGTTGTGTTTTATGCATGACGCACAGCTTCCTCTGTATGCAGGTTTACCTGCTTCAACAAGGAGCTGCTCTCGTGTTGCCACAATAATTCTTTGCGTTGTGAAGATTATTTAGATTCTTCAGGAATAATCAGATTGTATTGGCAGGCTGCTACTGCAAAACAAGTGGTTTGGTTGGCTACATCTCTATAATAAAAGGCTTAGTTGGTGTTGGACAATGTGCACTGAGAAGCTGGACGGGATGCTCAGTCACTAAATGCACCCAGTTTAAATAGTTGTTCACAAGGTTCGGAGGTTTTAATAGTAAACCAATAAACAACAACAATCTGCTGAATTTGATTCTCAGCCAAAGTTTTCCAGAGTTTAATTTATAGCTGAAAACAAATTAAGCTTATGCTCATAAGCTTATAACATTTATAATCATATAAATGTAGAAATATAATAAATATGGAATGGATGGCAGTCTTGAAGTCTTTGTTGCATTCACACTATGTGACTGATCGGTGACAGGGACACACACACGAGCTGATGGCCGTGTCACCGGACCCTGGTTTCCAAACCACGTTTTGCCAAGAAAACACCTGAAATGTGAAACTGGAAATGAGCGATCCTGCACACGAAACAGCTGTTTGTTATTATAACTAAGGATGGATTAGCACATGCAGGTAGCAGGAAATGTCTGAGCTACAGAGAGAGCTGCAGGTGAGTTAAAAGGTGCAGCTCCCTGACACCCAGTTAACTCATGACTGTGAGGAAACAACTCATGGGCCAAAAAGGAGAACGCACGTTTGACATTTTCAGCTGAGGATTGCGGCGACTCAACAATCAATCATGATAAATGCTAAAGTTGCTGTTACCTTGTCTGTGGTCAGCTGGCAGAACACCGGCTGCTTTCTGATAAGGTGCCATAGTGCTGTTCCCGAGGCACACAAGTTTCGTTTTATGGTGGACCAACACGTTCTCATCTCAATGCATCATAACTGACGCTTTCAGCCAGCGGTGCGTCTCACTGATTGATTTCAGGGTACCTTTAGCGTCAAATACGCTTTGTCACTTTTTCAAATCGTTGCTATATGACGCCCTGAGATGAGAACGGGCTGGGTGGAGTGACGGTAACATTACAGACTTGTTGTCTTTAGCTTGAAATAATAACATACTTTAGACACTTTTTTCTTTGTCCCTCGCTATTTTCTCTCTCTCTTCCTCCACTTTGCAAACAGCTCCATCATAATCACATTTATTCAATTAGCTGACGGTTTTATCCAAAGCGACCAATTGCTATTTTATGTCACACGCCTCTGAAGCAACTAGAGGTTAAGTGACTTGCTCAGGGACAAATGGTGTATGGGTCAGTGGGGGATTGAACCCTGGTCTCTCACACCAAAGGCAGGTATCTTATCCATTGCACCATCACCAGCCCATCACAGTTTAAGTGTGATGTGCGACAGTAATAAATGTCCCTGCGAAACACTGTGCTGTATAGTTAAATGGTCAAACAAAGCATTGATGCAAAGAATTTGTGTCGAAGCATTTTATTAATCGATTTTATCGATGAATTGTTTCAGCCCTATTAGTGGTTACTTTAAGCCTAGTTCACACTACACAATTTTAAGTCTGATTTGCCGGTCACCGAGCTCAGTGACCGTTGGGCTGTGATCAGGGCTAAATCAGTGATCGATCAGTCTGTCACCGATCACGTAGTGTGAACGCCACAATAACTTCATGACTCCCAAGACGGCCAGTCGTGTAGTCTGCACGAGCCTTTAGAGACAAATGCTGGCTGATTAACATCTGCTGCGTCTCACACCTGTGGTCTATCAAGCAATCAACTCGCCAGTTCGCCAATTCACCTTCAGTGCTAACGGCCAAGTCTTGCACTTAAATGAAAGTAGATTTCATTTGTCTAGTATTTTTAAAACCTGTGATAAATGATCTTGTGTCTGCCAACCGCGTTTATTCAGAGCTGTATTCTGGAAACCACTGCCTCCCAGCCCTACAAAGCGCTCTTGGAGCCCTCTCACTTCTCTCCAGAGGCGCCGCCAGAAGTTTTTGGCCCCATACCGCCTCTGCGCAGCTGTTATCCAGCCTGTTCTCATGCCAGGCATTATATATAAACGCTTGTCAAGCGTATTCATTTGACGCAAAAAACCCGTTAATTTTGCATGTATAGGAGACGCCCCCAAGGTGCGTGTGTATGAGACGCATCCAGGCGCGTCTGTATATGACGCCCCTGGGGGTTGCTAGCTAGAGATGTTTGAGGCGTTCACAGTCCCCCAAGGCAACTTACCCTAACAGGAGATAGTGCCTAAACCTAAGTCATTATGTCTTGTGTGTTAGCCTCCTTTGTGTTGCAACGCTATAGCAAACTGTAGTGTATCATACACATGCAAAATCGCCACTTTGCGTACAATAGCCATCTCATGCATCATATATACATGCTTTGTAAACCGTACCTGTGTACATAAACAGTACTCCCTGCATCATCAAAGCACACGTCAGTTCCGCCATGTGTTACCCTGGTAACGTAAACACCTCGGATAGGCCTACCCGCTGCTACTGTGGACATTTACTGAAATTAAATATACATTAAAACAAACTGATACAATTACAAAATGTATATTTCCATACTTCTATTTATATTCTATTAAAATGTATGAAACTTGTGAATGAATGTGAGTGGATTAATTTACAACATATGCAGCGTCATTCTTACAAAGATTCATATGAGCATTGTTGTCTTTAGGCAACTTAACCTCTGAAATAATCATAAACATTAGTTACAACGACAATAATTACAGATATACAAACCGTGGTGTCCTCTATTGTTAGTTGCAAAGGCTTATGGGTAATCTTTGACAACTTCCTGTGAAGCAATGAACCGTTGTTCCCTTCTTCCCTATGTGGCAGAAACGAGCGGTCTAGAACACTCGAGAAGCTGAAAATGTCCGACAATGGCACTTGGGATAAGCCCAAGACCTTTGAAGCACACAGATTGTTCTATCAAAATTAGGAGGCAGAGACAATCAAATAATTATAAAAAAACACAATTTTATTTTCTTTTGTCATATATTAATAGCAACACCTGCTCTATTAAGAAAAGATATGTAATGCGAATTAGAGAAAACTAAACAAAAAAAAAACACAAGCACCATTCAAAAACAGACCCGCATGCATAATTAAAGGATCAAAATCAAACACAAACAAACCCACATGCAATATACATCCAGTTAATACCAATATTTACAGAGCCAATGTCTGGATATTCAAACACTTAAAATGTATCGTTCCAAACCAGTTCTGTGCATCCAGGACAGTCATATCCAGACACTGTTTGTAACAATATACAGCAAAGTTTTATACCGATATCCAGAAGAGTGGGAGGAGAAACGCGCCGGGGAGTGATAACTGTGGCACCCAGCAGCCTCGACAGCAGCATGCACACGGCTGTAACCTGGTCCCGCTGTGATGTGAAAACATACAATTAAAAACAGGGCCACAATAAATTGTAGCAGACAGGCAAACAAGGTACTTACCGCTTTACGGGACACGCCACCCTCAGACCCCGGCAGGGGGGCAAGCAATACGCGCAACCACACAGCACTCAACTATAACAAATAAGACTGTCAGATCTTGATAAACACCAAATAGAACGAAGAGGGAGGCATGCAGCTTACCGAGGCACCCAACGCCAGCAGCCCAGGTATTCATCTATCCATACGGAGAATATCCACGGCCGAAACAAAGTTGGCTCTATGAGAGAATGCTCATTAGTGCCACCCGCCCAACAATGCAAACACTGAAAGGCATGAAGATAAAAAGACTTCCTTACCACTCCGCAGTAAACTAACAACCTCTCGCAACGGCAACAAACGTGCAGCACGCCAGCCCAGACACGTCTCCACACCCAACAGGAGAAGACAGAAACGCAAATGAGTCCACCACACAGGCTTAAAAAGGCAGCTCCCCACCTCTCCCAGTCAAAAGGGATGAGCCCCAGGTGTGCTGGTGCGCCTTCTCGTGCACAGGTAAGAGGGAGGGAAAGAAAACCTCATCCTGCCACACCTACACAATTCACAGTGCCCTTTGAACTGAACATAGTGTGCTCCCTGCGGTTTGGAATCTCACTTAAAATGGCTTAATACCCTGTGCAGTCCACTTTGCGGGGAACTACTGGGCGATCGGAACGCACCCTTTGGCAGGCTGAACTTCTTCAGCTGCCGCAAGTACATCTTCTGCTGGGCCTTCTTGGTGAGGGAGGTGATGTTCAGCTCCCACTTGAGGTCCTGGGAGATGATGGTGTCCAGGAAACAGAACGAGTCCACAGCGGTGACTGGGGAGTCACACAGAATGATGGGGGAGGGTGGGGCTGAGTTCTTTCTGAAGTCCACGACCATCTCCACTGTCTTCAGAGTGATGAGCTCCAGACTGTTCTGGCTGCACCAGGTCACCAGATGGTCGATCTCCCACCTGTAGACGGACTCATCCCCACCTGAGTTGAGCCCATGAGGGTGGTGTCGTCTGCAAACTTCAGGAGCTTGACAGACTGGTGACTGGAGGTGCAGCTGTGGTGTACAGGGAGAAGAGAAGGGGGGAAAGAACGCAGCCTTGAGGGGAACCGGTGCTGATGGTCCTGGAATCAGATGTTTTCCCAGCTGTCCGTCAGGAAGTCAGTGATCCACCTGCAGGTGGAGTCAGGCACGTTCAGATGGGAGAGCTTGTCCTGCAGCAGGGCCGGGATGATGGTGTTAAAAGCAGAGCTGAAATCCACAAACAGGATCCTGGCGTAGGTTCCTGGGGAGTCCAGGTGCTGGAGGATGAAGTGAAGGGCCATGTTTACTGCATCATCTACAGACCTGTTGGCTCTGTAGGCGAACTGCAGGGGGTCCAGGAGTGGGTCTGTGATGGATTTAAGGTAGGACAACACAAGGCGTTCAAAGGACTTCATAACCACAGATGTCAGGGCGACGGGTCTATAGTCATTTAGTCCAGTGGTCCTTGGTTTCTTGGGGACAGGGATGATAGTGGAGGCTTTGAAGCAGGCTGACACATGGCATGTCTCCAGTGAGGTGTTAAAAATGTCTGTTTCAGGGTGGATGGGAAGACAGAGTCCGGCCCAGCTGCTTTGCGGGGTTTCTGCCTCCTGAAAAGTCCGTAGACTTCCCTCTCTGTGATGGAGAGAGGAGGGGAGGGGGTGGAGCTGGCCAGCTCTGAGGAGGGAGGGGAATAAGTGGTGGACTGAGGTTGAAGCTAAGCGGAGGAGTCACAGGGGATTGTGTCCGATTGACTCTCAAAGCAGCCATAGAACTGGTTCAGCTCATTTGCCAGGCGAGAATCGTTTATGGAGGGAGGACTTTGGGTGAATGATATTCCAGACGCACAAGCGACCCGGCTCTTTTCCCTCTCCTGTGGCGCTTCACACAGCGAAGGACAGCGAGCGAGCCCTTCACAAAAAAAATCCAATAATTCCACTGATGAAGCAAGAAAAGTGGGAATTAAATCCGCTGGAGTTGTTCCCCTGATGTTCATGAGCTCCTCCCTGGTGAAAGAGCACAGAGAATCACAGCTGAAAACTGAATTAACACAAAAAAAAACAAAGTACACCTAACACCGAGGCAGCTATACTCAGGACCATGTGTTTGCAGCAACAAACACAATACATAAATACTTTAGCATCAATTGCTTTCTTTTAAAGTTGAAATCCTTTAGCAGTACAGGTCAGGGCTTCTGATTGTCCTCTGAAGTGCGAGACAGTGTCTGTAAAGAGGGTGCAGGTGTTTGGTACTAAAGGTGGGTGACAGGATGGAGTTGTGCCTTGTTCATGTAGTCAACATCTTATCTCTTTGAGCTCTTTGAATCAACATGTGAATGGGACCTACTCAACGGTTATACATAATACTGTACATGATATTAATACGTATTAAAGGACATAATTTGGCTTTGCCTTCTGCTGGAAGAAGTAGTGGTGTTCTGCTTTATCCTGCCAGTCCAGCATTTATTTGAACAGAGATGATGGTAGGTGACTCGGGCCAGCCTTGCTACTACCATCAGGCCTGAAACCCTGCACAGGCTCAGATTGGACTTGGGGAAAATCTGCGAGGTTCTGGGATGAGTCCCAGAGAGAGAAAAAACACTCAATTTTACTTTACATGGGTACAAACAATGGTAAGCACCGCCTTTACCTGTTTTTTCATGAAACAGAATTAAACTCAAGAAAGGCAGTAAAATATTTGAGAGCTAGAGGAGATGTTTTACTCACAATAATGTTCACCAGGTTTCACACATAAGTAGCCTACATAACTAATGATAACAACAAACTGCAATTAAAATATTTAATCTAACTAACATAATACAATATGTTACACTGGCAAATTTAATGTCTTAAAATTGCAAAGGAAAACCCTTCCACGTGTTAGGGACTCAAAAGAAGGTTTTCAACTTTCAATTAAAGAATTGCTGCTAAAGTATTTAATAGTGTAATTTTATATTATAGCTGTATTTGAGGAAATTTGAGATCAAACTTGAGTAATGGGGAGAAATCTGCTTTTTACTTTGTCATCATCTTTTTCTTGGAGGCTGAACGTAATATGTGACGGTAACTGGATCAAGTTTATGTTCATGTTAACTTGGTAGGTTGCATATGTGTCCGTTGCTGCAATGTGTTTTCGAAATGATATATGCACAGTCAGTGTGGTTCTGTCTTTATCATTTCTCCAGTATATCCATGTTGCAACATTGTGAAGGATGTTGACTTCTCACAGCGATAAGGCCGTTTGTTCAGTTCTTCTTTATCAATGAGCAGAGCTCTGTACTGTTGCACAGCCGTATATTAACAGGATTCTCCTTTGTCTTCCGGGATTTGTGCTGAATGGCCAACACCTGCATGGCCTTCAGTTTGTACTTGACCACTTGACCATATGTCTCTACATTTAGTGCAGACAGTGCAAGCTTGCAGAGTGCCAGTCCCTCTGGGTCTTTCTCACACCAATCTACCATATATCACCTCTTGTCTCCTCTGTCATCTGAGGCGAAGCCATGCCACTTGCATATCTAGGATGAGAAACAACAGGTTAAGCTCCTTATATTTACCAATAAAATAATTCCTTACAAACAGGCTACATGATACAACTATTAGCAAAATAATCAAACTATTATTATGAATTATTCATAATCTGTGTAAATAGCATCTACCATTTATACACACCTGTGTATTTCACGTTGAAATCCAGCTCTCCCCAGCTTCACAGCTGGAAACATGTTTGGCAACTTCTGGAGATGAAGAAGAATGTGATGTCTTCCTTGTGCATCTGGGTCTAAGCATGACTGGGTCCTCAGGGTTAGACTGTCAACAGGTGGTTTTGCAAGATCACCCGCACAGCTGTGTAGTTTGGATTACCTTTTATAAATAAAGTTTATTAAGAAACTAGTTGAGACATATGTCGTTTAGGAACTGTTTTTCTTTTAAATTAAGAATTGCATACATTATGGTGTTTTTTATCTTTAATGAATTCACTGTGTATTGTGATGATGTTTTGTCATTTTGTCTTGTCTAATATTAAGGACCATGCTGGAAATAAATGTTTAATTACACTTTCACATGTTATCCTCTGCATGGACAACATCTTGTGTTGACATATTTTAATTATTTACTTAAATAAAGCCATACGATACCTTATATTTAAAGATTTTCACCACAGTGTGCTCCCTCCCTAGTTGGTCCCGAATGGATGAGGCCTCACTGCCAACAAAAGGTGCTGCAAGATGGGCCTCTGTCGCTTTCAGGTTGAGCAACTTCATCTTTGGCCCAGATAGATTCCTCCCTTTGCTGTTGATCTGGTCTTCTGGTTTGAAGCAGTATAAAACTCCCTGACAAGTTTCTCCTGTGTCAATGTTGAACATGACCAATGCATCCCACATGCGCGATGTGTCCAGACTAACATCCAAGACTGTGGAAAATAGCACTCTAGCTGAGAAATGGAAATCCAAACATGCTGCAAATTTCTCTGACACAGTCATTTATGTCAGCTGACCATTTGTGTTCTGTGTGCAGGTCTGACAGCAAAGCCTCAACCCAATGCTCAAAAGGACTGCACAATTTATTTCTGCATTATGAAGGTGGTGGCATGAGTCCCCATCCTCATAACAGCACAAGAGTCATTAAAATGGACACCAGGTTATCACGAGAGAGTCCTCATTTCAAAAAGCCCATCCAGTGAATTGAAGAGAGATTCTGCTGTTACAGATATGAGCTCCAGAGCTACAAGATGTTGGACAACCATCCTTGCGTGTTTTTTGGACCAGTAGCCAACAAACACACCTAATACTCTTTTGTTTCTCTTGCTTGTGGCCTCAGTGTTGAGGGAGAAGAGGACACTTCGTATTTCTTCTAGTACTTCGTCTTGGATAGTCTTCTTCACACGTCTGAGAGCTTGTATGAAGCAAATGTCCTGTCCATTAAGAGTTCAGCAAGTGTTTTTAGATCTTCAGCCAGGATTTGTGCCAATTCAATAATCCCTGATGTGATGACAAATCCAAGAATGAGTGCCTGAAAAACAGAATTTAATTAAACAACATACATCCTATTTCCCAAAGTAATATATTTATCAGTGATTATCATTTTGTTAAAACCATTATTTAAGAAATAGCCTAATCTGCAATTGTTCATAACCATATTTATTTTTTGTTTATTGAGCATTCTCCCCATTGAAAGTTATCTTATTTGCTGCTATTGATAGTAAATTGGTAGATCTGTTTAAAATATAGTCCATTTCTAGTTTTGTCTATTTAAATTAATAACCAGCTGTTTAAAACATTGTAAAGAAAAGATTTGACTTAAAAAAAGTCATAATCAGAAAACACTTGATGCTGTGCAACACAGCTGGAATTGATTTAGGTTGCTCTGGGTTGTTGTGTGGATCCGAAGCAATGATTTTACTGTTACTATCTCAATGTGCACGTTCTGCTGTTTGATCGTCCACGGTTTCACATGTTTTTGGAGTAAAGTCTTCCCACTTGTGCCATAGTTAATTGGGTGGGTGCGAATGTTGCAATAGTCTTGCCAGTTCCCTAATTTTGCTAAATCAATTCAGTGAGAATGTGTTTCCTTCAACTTGGACAGTCTCCAGCAACCAGCTTCATTTAACAGCCCTCAATAGACTTTAATTCAGGGCTGTTCAGTGCTAGCCTGGCCATGAGTCTGTGAATACTGCAAATCAAGAATAGAAATTATGATTGGAATGTCCATCCATCCTCAACCACTTATCCTGTGTACAGGGTCGCGGGTACTTGAGCCAATCCCAGCTGACATCGGGTGAAAGGCGGGATACACCCTCACACCTTAGGACAATTTTGGAGACACCAATTAACCTAGCCTGCATGTCTTTGGAGGGTGGGAGGAAGCCGGGAGACGAGGACACAGGGAGAACATGAAAACTCCACACAGAAAAGCCGGGGCAACCGGGGTTTGAACACATGACCTTTTTGCTGTAAGGAGACAGTGCTAACCACTGGACCACCCATGATTAGAATGTAAAACAATATATTTGTGTTTACAAGTTTGAGTATTTGTGTGACTATTTGCTTTGTGCAGAATGACATGGCTACTGACTGTGTACTCTCCATGTCCGCACTGCCACAAAACAGCAGGAGAGTGATGCTCTGCCCACTTACTCACTTGGATCCGCAGGATCGCTGTGCACCACATGTGAACAGAAAGGCAGACAAGCGAGTAAACACCAGGCCCTCTATGGTTGGTGACCATGTCAGTGGCTTCTGTGCACTACTTCGTGACCTGTATGAGCGTGCACACCCATCCCTCACAACATTGCAACATGGCTATACTTGAGAAAAGCACTGATAAAGAACCACAGTGACTGCGTATTCTGTACATGATTCTGAGAACACATTACAGCAACTAACACAACCCACAAAATGAACAGGAAAATAAACTCAATCCAAATACAATTAAATTTTATTTATATAGCGCCAAATCACAACCGTTATCTCACAGCGCTCTTCATAAAAGACAGGTCTAGATCGTACTCTGTGATGTTATTTACAGAAGCCCAACAATTCCCACCAAGAGCAAGCACTAGGCGACAGAGGAAAGGAAAAACTTCCTTTTAAGAGGCAGAAACCTCGAGCAGAACCATGGCTCAGGGTGGGCGGCCATCTGCCTCGACCGGTTGGGGGTGAAGGGGGAGAGAGAGAGGGAGAGAGAGAGGGAGAGAGAGGAGAGAGAGAGAGAGAGAGAGAGGGCAGGAAGGAGAGAGATATTTATAGTAGTGTTAATGATTATAATAGGACTAGTAACAATAGTTGTAGCAGAGGGTGTTGAGCAGGAACACGGGAGCAGCAGGTGACTCGCAACCACAGATCCAGAGCCAGAAACACCTGCAGGAAGTGATATGAGGAGAGGGAGGAGAAAGCACAAGACTACCGGAAAGGGGAGAAGTTGAGTTAGTAACATGCATTAATGGGATGAGGTTGCATACAGAGGAGAGAAAGTAGAGGAGAGAGGAGCTCGTGCATCATGGGAAGTCCCCCTGCAGTCTAGGCCTATAGCAGCATAACTAAAGGATGGTTCAGGACTCACCTGAGCCAGCCCTAACTATAAGCTTTATCAAAGAGGAGAGTCTTAAGCCTACTCTTAAATGTGGAGATGGTGTCTGCCTCCTGAACCCAAACAGGAACCTGGTTCCACAGGAGAGGAGCTTGATAGCTGAACGCTCTGGCTCCCATTCTACTTTTGGAGACTCTAGGAACCACAAGTAACCCTGCATTCTGGGAGCGCAGTGCTCTGGTGGGGTAGTAAGGTACTATGAGCTCTTTAAGATAAGATGGTGCCTGACCATTAAGAGCTTTGTAGGTAAGAAGAATGATTTTAAATTCTATTCTGGATTTTACTGGAAGCCAATGCAGAGAAGCTAAGACAGGAGAAATGTGATCTCTTTTCCTGGTTCCTGTCAGAACATGTGCTGCAGCATTCTGGATCAGCTGAAGAGTCTTAAGACTTTTTCGAGCAGCCTAATAATAAGGAATTGCAGTAATCCAGCCTAGAAGTAACAAATGCATGGACTAGTTTTTCTGCATATTTTTAGACAGGATGTTCCTAATTTTCACAATGTTACGTAGTTGAAAAAATCTGATCAAAGATAACGCCAAGATTCCTCACAGTGGTGCCGGAGGCCAGGGCGATGCCATCAAGGGAAACTATATCTTTAGATAATGCGTCACGGAGGTGCTTGAACAACAACGTTTTATCTGAGTTTAACATTAGAAAATTACAGGTCATCCAGGTTTTAAAATCCTGAAGGCACATTTGAAGTTTAGCTAACTGATGAGTTTCATCTGGCTTGATCAATAGATATAACTGAGTATCATCTGCATAACAATGAAAGTTTCCTGATAATATTGCCAAAGGGAAGCATATATAAAGTGAACAGGATTGGTCCGAGGATAGATCCTTGAGGAACTCCATGACTAACTTTGGCGTGTATGGAGGACTCATCGTTAACATGTACAAACTGAAATCGATCTGATAAATAGGACTTAAACCAGCTTAGAGCGGTTCCTTTAATGCCAATAAAATGTTCCAGTCTCTGCAATAGGATCTGATGGTCAATGGTATCAAATGCAGCACTAAGATCTTTTTTTTTTTTTTTTTTAAACCTAGCAGCACTAAGATCTAATAAAACCAGTACAGAGACAAGTCCTTGTCTGATGCAATTAGGAGGTCGTTAGTAATTTTCACCAGTGCTGTCTCTGTGCTATGATGAGCTCTAAATCCTGACTGAAAATCTCTATTAAACTATTGCTCTGTAGAAAGTTATACAGCTGTTTAGCAACTGCTTTCTCCAGGATCTTAGAGAGAAATGGAAGGTTAGATATAGGTCTATAGTTGGCTAAAACATCGGATCAATTTGGGCTTTTTCAGAAGAGGCTACTTTAAAGTACTGTGGTACCTGTTGATAAAGATAGATTGATCATATCTAGCATAGACGTGCTGACTAAGGGTAAAACATCTTTAAGCAACCTAGTCGGGATGGGGTCTAAGAGGCAGGTTGATTGTTTAGATGAAGAAATTATTGAAGTTAGTTGGTAAAGATTGAGGGAAGCAAAACAGTCTAAATATATATCTGGTTTTACAGCTGTTTCTAAAGGTTCCTGAGTTTAGAGATAAGTCGGTGCCAGTTGAGGGCAGGTCTTGGTGAATTTTGTTTCCAATAGTTAGAATTTTATCATTAAAGAAGCTCAAGAAGTCGTAACTACTGAGAGCTATGGAATACTTCGCTCAGTAGAGCTGTGAGTCTCTGTCAGCCTGGCTACAGTGCTGAAAAGAAACCTGGGGTTGTTCCTATTTTCCTCTATTGAATGACAAGTAGTACGCTGCTCTGGCATTACAGAGAGCCTTCCTATAAGTTTTAAGACTATCTTGCCAAATTAAACAGAATTTTCCAGTTTGGTGGAATGCCAATTCCTCTCAAGTTTCTGCAATACTTGCTTTAATTTGCGAGTTTTAGTATTATACCATGGAGTAACTGTCTTTTTAAAATTATTTTCTTTTTTAGAGGGGCTACAGAGTCGAGTGTCATTCGCAGTGAACCTGCAGCGCTATCAACAAGATGATCGATTTGGGAGGGACTGAAATTAGCATAGGAGTCCTCTGTTACTTTGTGACTTGATAATGAATTTAGAGCTGATGGAATCGCATCCTTAAATTTAGCTACAGCACTATCAGACAGACATCTTGTATAGAAGTTTTTGCCCAATGGTGTGTAGTTCAGCAATACAAACTCAAAAGTTATCAGTGGTCGGATAAAGAGGTATTCTGTGGAAATACTATTAAATGTTTAATTTCAATACTGTATACCAGGGGTATTCAATTAGATTTCAAAGAGCTCTAGTTAGAGAAAATTTCCTGAAGCAAAGGTCCGGAACATCAAAACGACGAACTCGTGTTATCATTCAGTACTATAATCTATAGTTGTATCACCACATGTTTTTAGTCAACAACGGACTGTCAAATCAAATAATATTTCAGTCAGTTTTCACACCAAACTGGAGGGATAATAAATAATAACTATTCAAATAATAAATTCTAAATTTAAGTAAACTAAAGTGCCTAATTTTTAGAAAAAATGTAATAAAAAGTGTAGCTTGAAGTGATGAAGTGTAGTCTTAACCAATTATAATAAACACAAATTAACAGCTGTAACGCCTCCTCTTCTCTTTCATTTCCTCTTACAGAGCTACCACTTTCCTACTTTCTGTTGTTCAGTGAGAAACGTGAGCTCCAGCTAGCATATTGGAGATCTATGAGATATTCTGGTTTTGAACTGCCCGTGGGAGGAATGTACATGTAAAAATCTGTACATTCTTGATTAAAAGTCATGTGAAATCTTTTATCATTCTTCTCCTCAATTCGGGTGTGTTTCCAAAACGTCTCTGGTGAATCTCGCGGACTCAACTCGCAAGCATCGGTATGCACAGATTTGATTGGCTGAGCAGCGTCACATGATACGATTGGAGCACATGCGATTGGTCTGTGAGTTTCCTGGTCCTCTAAACCAGTACAGTAAATGCTAGAAAAGCTGCGCGGGTTAAAATAGAAACGCTCCATCACGAGGTAGTAAGTCTCAATAATAAATGTGCTGTAGGTCGGCGGTCCGGAGAGGACGGCATCTGGATCCGGACCGCGGTCCGTCTATTAGTGACCTCTGCTGTATACCAAAACAAGGTCAAGGGTGTCGTTAAAACAGTGAGTCGGTTCATAACACTCTTAGAGAAGCCAATGGAATCTAACAGAGATAAACGCAGTACTGAAGCTGTCATTCTCAACATCCACATGAATATTAAAATCCCCTACAATAATAACTTTGTCCGTTTTAAGGACTTATGTTGACAAAACTCTGCAAATTCAGAGTATGGGCCAGGTGCTCGGTACACTATAACAAAAGAATTGGTTGCAGTGATTTCCAACTTGGGTGTGAAAGACTAAGAACAAGGCTTTCAAATGAGTTATAGTTTAGGTTTAGAGCTGATTAGTAGGCTAGAGTCAAAGATAGCTGCAACTCCAACTCCTCGGCCTGTGCCTCGAGTAATGTGAGTATTAATGACTGGGAGGGGTGGATTCATTTAGGCTAACATATTCTCCATCACCCAGCCAGGTTTCAGTAAGACAAAATAAATCAATATAATAATCTGATATTAGTTAATTTACTAGTACACCTTTAGAAGAGAGAGATCTGATGTTTAAGAGTCCACATTTAATTATCCTATTGTTTTGCACTATTACAGGTTTTAATTTTTATGAGGTTTTTATGCACAGCTCCTCTTCTGTTTACCTTTGATTTAAATAATTTCAATGGTTGGGGGACAGACACCGTCACTATAGGGTTTTCTCCCGAAATGGAGGAGCAGAGAAGTGTGTTAGACTGCGACTCTGCCTCCTGGTCTTAACTCTGGGTTGTCATGGATTTGGTCCACTAATAAACTTGGCCAGAAATGAGAGCTGCTCCTTCCTAAGTGGGATGGATGCCGTCTCTCCGTGTCAGACCAGGTCTTCCCTAGAAAGTCTGCCAATGATCTACAAAGCCCACATCGTTTGCTGGACACCACCTCAACAACCAGCGGCGGAATGACGACATGCGGCTATACATGTCATCACTGGTCAGAATTGGTAGGGGTCCAGAGAAAACTATGGTGTTCGACATTGTTTTTGCATATGTACACACCGACTCAACATTAATCTTAGTGACCTCCAATTGGCGTAACCGGGAGTCATTACCGCCGACGTGAATAACAATCTTACTGTATTTACGTTTATCCATAGCCAGCAGTTTCAAATAAGACTCAATGTCGCCCGCTCAGGCCCCAGGGATGCACTTAACTATGGCCGCTGGCTTCGCTAACTTCACGTTTCTCAAAATGGAGCTGCCAATGATCAGAGTTGGTTTCTCAGCGGGTGTGTCGCTGAGTGGGGAAAATCTGTTAGAGACGTGAACAGGTTGGTGATGACCCGTGTGTCACACCTTTGTGGTGAAGGCAGGGTTGAGCAGGTTAGAGGACCCAAATGCAGGACTCGGAGCAGGCAGGTACAGTTTAGTGATTTATTTAAACAACTAAAGGCGAGCACACTTACAGGTTGAGTGGTTGATACAGAGTCCAAAACAGAGGTTGTCCAAACCAAAATCCAAATGGTGCAGGGAAACAGGGAGACACGACGAAAGGGCAGACAACAAGCGTTCACACAGCAACTCAGGGAGACAGCATACAATGACCGACAAAGACAAGACAGAAACACCAGGTACATACACACAGGGACTAACGAGCAGGGCAGGAGCAACACAGGTGACAGACATGAGGCTAACGAGGCACAGACAGGGAGAGAGAGAGCAGGGGAAAACAGACAGACATGCAGAGGGATCACTGCGGTAACAGACATGACAAAGGTTACTAAACACTAGACGACAGACAAGTCAGAACCCCAAAACCCAACAGACCAAAACAACAGATAATAAAACTGACTAAAAGTACAAAACATGACATGGCAGACAGGATCGTGACACCGTGGGCTTTGAATGCTTATGACTATTCCTCCTTCGGACAGTCTCCCAGCCACCCCTTCCTGGCTGCTCAGGGGATGCCGGGGGATGGCTACCACAGGCTAACTCAGGCCGTTCTGCACCGACTACCGGGGACTGGCTAGCTACAGTAGTTAAAGACTGATCTGCCAAGGTGTGGAGCACCATTACAGCTAAAGGAGGCAGGAGTAACTGAACATCTGACACACCGAGCAGGAGAAAGTAGGAGAGCGAGAGGGAGAAGGAGAAGCCATCGCTAGCTGCTGAGCTAATGTCGCTAACGGCTACGCTAAAGTACTGTAGTGCAACCAAAACTTTTGAACAACTATGAGATTGAACAGCAGTCACTAAAAGATGGAAAGAAGTGTGAGTGCTTAGGCAAAATTACTGGAAGTAGTAGTGTTTAGCTGTAATCTAACAAATTTAACTGATATTTAGCGAGAGCAGCACAACACGCAAGCACTGGAAACGGAAATGAGTCAACACGCTTACCGCAGTACGTCAGCAACGTCACCCCAAAGACATAGTTATCAATCAGAAAAGCACTGTAGTGCACCTACACTTTACTAATGAAATTATGAATAATATTATTGGGAAATATGGGCGGTCGCAGGTTCGAACCCCAGTTTCCCCGGCCTTTCTGTGTGGAGTTTGCATGTTCCCCTTCAAGGGGAACAAGGGTTACATCCGTAACCCGAGACGTTCTCCCCGTGTCTGCGTGGGTTCTCTCTGGGTGCTCCGGCATCCTCCCACCATCGAAAGACATGTGGACGAGGTTGACTGGTGACCCTAAATTGTCCTTAGCATGCTCATTAGCGTTTTTCTCTAATCACTGTGATGAGTGGTCTGTGTTTTAAAAGAGGTTTTCAATGTGTCAAATTTTCAAACAATCTGATTCAGTATTTTAAAAAGCTTGTCACAGGCCCAGCTAAATGAGTTATGGTCAAGCCTCACTTCTTGGCATTCCCTCTCCACCCCAAAAGGTATTTTGATACCAAATTGAGGACAATAATTAAACATTGACAACAACACAAAAATAATTAAAGTCATGAATGAATTTGGTTGTGACTCTGTTTGAATGTCCGCTCAAATGGGATAAACTGAACATTTGTTCTGTTTTCTGACAGCTGTGATGCGTCAGAGAAAGCCAGACTTGTAACCACAGACATCCTGCTGAAATGGTCTGTCCATACTTGTGACGTATGCTAATGAAGAAATACTTGTCTCGTAATAATGCCTTACTTATAAAAGCAGCTTTTTGGACATCCTTTGTGATTGATCAGGTGTTGTAAATTTGACGAAGAATTGAGCTTTGACCAATGTCTGAATTGTATTTCATGTTTTACCATATTTGGAAGGCAGCTTGAGTTTTTGATCTCCTGATCTCCACCTGTATAAGAGAGGGACACAAAAAAGTTTCTCTCACTCTGAGGAGCAGTTCTTGTTGCTTTTCTGATCTCAGTAGATTAGACTCTTAAGCATAACATTCTTAGCAGCTTTATGCACAGAGGATTTTGATATTAGATTTGTTCAGCTTTAAATAAAACAGATTGTTCATTCTACAATCAAGACAGTTCCTGTAAGACTCTTCTCTGAACGCCGACTGCCACAGTGTATCATCTAAAGGTATGGGTCCTCTTCGGGATAGGTGGACAATTTTAGTAATAAATTGATAATAAATTATCAAATTGATGTTGACAGCTAAACCCTAAAAATAAATCCTCTCAATTCTGATATCTGATTAATGATTGTTATAAGTCAGCTATATGGTCTGTTGCTGATATGATTTAATTATATTTAGTTGGTGGAAAATATTATTGATTAGTATTTGATCTGTATGGAAGCCCTAAGAGGTCATACATTCATACATTTTATTTACTCCATTTTCCCGTGATGACGAGATAATTTAATTTGTTTTCTCCAGATCTCAAGTTATTTATATTATAAATATGTTATGTTATAATCTCAAAATAATATAATCTCAGTTGGTCCACATCCATCAACCTCTCATATTTCCCAACAGCTATTTCAGAGGTGTGTCAAACACCACTGAATAATTCTGAAGGAGATTCAAAAGAGTCTGTGGCTTGAAAGACACCCCTTTGAAATGGCCATTGGAAATGAGATTGGATTCCCTTGAATGAGAAGTGCTGGGGAAATGAAAATAAGCGTCCATAGGTTGATGGATGTGGAAAAATCGGGACACAAACACTCCAGTAAACTGAACTTTATCTGCTTTCGGTCTTTCTCCTCCTCTGACCAATAAAAGAGGATCAAACATAAACTTTCTGCTTTTCAAAACATGTTCCTTTAGTATTCAGGGCGGAGCTGTTAAAGACGCTACTTAAAATATAAATAGCAGCAACAGACTGACCTGGCTTCTCAGACATTGGGTGAACCAATGACATCACCAATCATGAATCACTTGTTATTGGTTGGTAGATCTGTCGCTATTGGTCACCCTGGGGCTTTATACATACAGGCTTGGGTAAATCCCTCCCTAACAATAATGATAAAAACAATGTATGATTAAGTAAATACTGCACTAACTGAAGACTATATTCAGGTGATATGTTTCATGTTGTATTCATGCTATTAGCCTACCCTAATCAAGGACATGAATTTATGAGACACATGTTGATTAAATTCGGCTGCGGGCTGAATGTTAGTCTACCAATAAGTCATGTGTTGGTGGCTGTCAGAACATGATCCATTGTCCAGACGCTGTGATGCCTTGCTTCCAGTAGCTGAAGTTTGAACCTTATTCTGCTACAAAGCATACAATATACAAAAAATCAGAAATAAACTATACACTATGTTTCACAGGGCAGTGCTGATGAATCCACGTCAGAGTTCAAAAGTCTCATGGCCTGGGGAAAAAAATCAACTCACTGAAAAATAATGTCTCATTGACCAACAGTGAATCTAATCCAACAATTTTACTCGCTTCTCATCGACACCAGGCTGAACTCTTAAACCTGGTTGACTGTACCAGATGTTTCTGCGTACTGTCTCACAGTGGGTCTTACAAGCAGATGGAGTTTTATAAAATGGGGGTTAAACTTGGTCGGTTAGCTGGTGCTCATTGATTCAGCTTTGGCTGAGGTTTCTGTGAATATCCTCAATATCCAATATGAGCAAAACAGAACTGCTAAAGTGTTTTTGTTTTTGGAAAGATTAAAAATAAATAAAATACACCACCTTACAATCTTCTTAGTGCCAAGAGTTGCTCTTACTACAGCCCCAAGGAGAAATCCAAAGCTCGACATGACATGACTCTACTAATTTATTGCAACGTTTTTGCAACTAAAGAAAACAACTGTAATGTTTGATGGTTGTTTCTCTCTCCTCTGACCTTAAGACACACAGTGTTTGACGATGATGTCCATGAAGATGTGGTATCTCTTGCTGCTCGGTGCCTTCCTGCCCATTGTTCCCACAGAGGCTGAAGTGGTGAAGTCAGTGGCCGACTGTGGCCAGTTTCTCCTTGAAGCAAAGCCACCACAGGTCCCAGGCATCTTGGAGGGCGGGAAAATTACGGACCAGAATCGATACAAACCCATATGCCAGACTTATAAAGATGAGAGAAAGTTTCTGACGCTCTACGACACCAAGAACAGGATCCCAGTGTTTTCTGCTTTAAAGTACAGAGGGGAAGGAGGAGGAAAGCCACCCTCAGACGAGTGGATGATAGAGCCACAGGTAGAGCCATTTTTGTTGTTAGATCCCAAATTACCCCTGTCCAGGAGGTACTGGTCCACCTCTCCATCTTAAACGGTCCGATCCTCCAGGCCTGTGGGTATTACCCTATTAGGTATGACTGGGGACTGTTGTAGAAGCTTCTGTATTCAAAAGTCTGAAGTGTCTTCTGGTTTTGTTTGCTGTTCAAATCCCCAACTCAGGAATGTGCCGATGATCCCGATCCGAGCTTGGTGCCTTGACATCAGCCGAGGAATAACGCTGATCTATCTCCTGCTTATCCGTATATTCTCTCTTCATTTTGACTTTGGTGTAATTGTGTGTGTAAGTTGGCCTATGTGTGTAAGCCAGGATGTGTCCATGTTTGGTCCTTCCACTTCTCCGTTTCCGTCCCTGATGTCTTCACCCAAACTCAGCAACTCTTCACACAATTATTTAACCTTTACCATAGTTGTTCTTACTTGACCATATTAATTATTTTACCATGAAATTATCATTTTAATTAATTTATGTTCATTATCAATCAGATATCCTCTTTTTCAATCATCATGCATCATATTTATGCCAAATCATCTTTTTTCAGTCATTAATTTCATTGCTTACAGCATTGCTCAGCTCTTTGTTATGCATATTGAAAGAAAGTACTTTACACTTCCCTTTACTCACTGTTGTTGCCAAAGGGAGAAAGGCTCCAGCTTTCTCCTTTTCGACTTGATAACAAAAGCGTGGGGATCGTATTTGACACCTGCTCTAACAGTACCACTAAACCAGTGAAGTAATCATTATCATGCTGCATACAACAACTACTTTTACTGTCCTTTTTACAAGAGATGCATGTCAGATGCTCGTCTACCAAATGCTTGTTTAACCCAGGTTGAGCTCTCTCACGTTAAAACAACTCTAACTGGTGAATTTATGGTTTTGCAGAGACTCCAGGCTGCAGTGCAGTCGCATACACCTCACTGCTAATCTATAAAGGACACAGAATGACATTGTATAATTATTAATTAAAATTAAAGGATAAGGCAGCTGATATTCTATATTTTTATTACACCAACATCACGCAACATAGTTTCTGACTTCTCTACTCTTTCTTTGGCTCCTAAATCTTTAGAAACATCTCACAAATATATCATTTAATTTTTAAAAAGGCTAAGTTATTTCCTTAAACAGCTTTAAGGTTAAGTTACTGAAACAGGAAGAAATAGTTAATTCGTTAGGGACTATTTTCAGCAGTGGATGAATTCACATTTGGTGCTTTAGTGAGTATTTGGGGCAGCAGGACGGTGTATGTGGGACTGAGTCAGAGTAAACTACGGTGTGTGTGTTCATGCTAATAAAAGGAACATGCAACAATGCTCACTGATGTTTTTAAATGGTTTTGGTACAATAACGGAGCTCTATGGCTCAGAGGACGAAGAGATCAGGCTGAGCCTTTCCATGCTGCTGTAATTAAATGCTATTTTACTACACATTTAATTTACTTTACTACTATCCTGCCTGCATCAGTAACTTACATCTTTAACTCCTACAGCTTGAGAATGAAGAAGACAAGAACAAGAACATGTTGGATGTAGAAAGAGACAGGACCTACAACAACCAGGCTGGGGACAATGATTACAAAGACCAAAAAGGGTTTACCAGGGGCCATTTAATTGCAAGCTCTTATGGGTTCCAGATATCTGGCAAAATGTCCACCTACACCCTGACCAACATTGTTCCACAACAAAAAACATTCAACGAGGGAAGCTGGTACAAAATGGAGAAGTGCGTCAAATGTATTATGGACCGGCACTGTACCAACAATGGTGTTACTGAAGCCTATGTGGTAACTGGAGCACAACCCAACAACAACAACAAACAACTCAATAACAGGGTTAATATTCCTGACACGCTCTGGTCAGCATTCTGCTGCTTTGACTCCAAAAAGAAGAAATGGATCGCAAACGCACACTGGGGCAACAATGATCCAGAAATTTTATCTGAAAAGAAAACTCTGCCAACTAAGACTCTGGGAGAGCTCAAACAACAACTGGGGATAGAAGTGTTTCATGAAACACAGTGTCCTAAGACTGTGTTCTTCACAAACGTTGACAACTGCCCATGCCCCCGCTCTGCTTCAACCACTTCGTCCCATCTCAATTAAAATCTTCCCCTTTCACACCCAACATTTGGTCCACTATATGCCTTGTCCTGCTTTCATCTGCCTGGCTCTTCATCATGTCTTTGGGGTTCTAACTGTATGAGGAAAATATAAATCTGTGAGGAAAAATTGGGAATCTCAAACAAGGCCTTTAATCTGTCATTATTCAATTATGTTGAATATTTAATCAAACGTTAAAGTTTGAAAAAAAAAGATGTATGTATAAAATGAACTAATTCAATACAGAATTAACAAACTAAAAAAATGATTTGTCACAAATTTTTGAATCTTCAGGCTAAACCGCTGTTTTTTTTTGTTTTTTTTTTACATTTTACTGTATTTCACTTTATTTTTAATTTCATTTGTTATGATGATGGGACTCTGGATAAGTGAAAGTGCCCTTTGCATGGCTTCAGATGGAAGACAAATGTGGAAAACATGAGGTTGTGAATGAAATAAACTGCAGCCTACACCTGATACTGTGCGTTAAGTGGTGATTTTATCTTTACATTGAATCAAACTGAGCTTTTATCAACGTCTCAAACTTCTCGTATGAAGAGAATATAAGTTATTCTATCTTCTTCTTCTTCTTATAATTATTTTACAAACATGTCCCTGTTGGTCTTCAGATAGTTTACTTGCAGAACCATACACAGAAGGCCAACCTGTGCAGTAAAAATCAGTGTAATATCCAACTGGCCATCTATACTTAATTGATCTCTTTTGAATATATTTAAGATTCTGCCATGAGTCTTTTATTTACTGTGGTCCCAGGGCACCATCTAGTGTCCTTTTTGTATTTTTCCAATTAGAAGCTGTAAACTCTGTGATGGCTACTCCGCTGTTGAAGAATAAATAAATGAACAGCCAAAGAATTGTGCTGTGAAGTTTCATATCACCATAGCTGTGATGGCGCAATGGATAAGATGCCTACCTTTGGTGTGAGAGGCCCGGGTTCATCTCCCATTGTGTCCCTGAGCAAGACACTTAACCCCTTGTTGCTCCAGAAGCGTGCGAACTCTGACATGTATAGCAATTGTAAGCCGTTTTGGATTAAAGCGTCAGCAAACTGTATGTTCATATATGTTATTCTTCAACAGCGCAGTAGCCATCACAGAAAATATCTTTATAAGCAAAACATGCCTTCTATTTTTTGTCAGAATACGACATGATTGAAAAGAAACATCAAAGCTTTCCCTATACAGTGTATCTTAGTCCGGTGGTGGAGGTCTTGCTCTTGCTCCGGATCCAGAGATTGATGGACAAAACCCTGCTCACAGCATGTTAACAAAAAGGGGGCCAAACTTAACACATATGTTTGCTGATCAAGTGTGCGGCACATCATTGAGTCTCTTAGCTGATGGAGCCGCACATTGTACCGACAGCGGTAGCATCGCAAAAAATAGCTGGCAGCTCTCACACGCATTTTTTTAAGGAAATGCCCATTCAGGTTCACTTATGTGTTTCTGTAGACTTTCTAGTTTAAGTCTTTTATTGAGGAGTCAAATATTAAAATAGTCAAAATTTCAAATTGTCCTTACTTTGGACTTGGAGACAAATGCAAAACAGTGTGACCGTTTCAGTTGCGTATGCCCCTAAAAATAGATAGGCCTACGTGAGAATCATAAAAAAATATGAGTAACATCCACCATGTCATGATTTGTCCTTGCCACCTCCTCTATCCTCATGTTTCGTTGCCTCCCTGCCTGCCAGCCCTACACAGTGTTCTTGGAGCCCTCTCACCTGTCTGCTCACTTCTCTCTCCTAAGTTCATCTGCCGTTTGCTGTTTGTAAATAAATCTACCTGAGTTGACTGTTCATCCATACAGCAAACCCTAACATACTTTAACAGTAATCTTTATTTAAAACGCAAATGTTATATTATGATGACTGATTACAGACTACTACTACGAGCTATGTTTACCTAAATGTTCAGCCTAAACACGGTAGGTTTTAGCGTTTAACCAATGCAAACATTGAAAGGAACATATTGGCTAAGTGATATACAGCAATGCCAGATATCTCAAACAAAAATAATAGTAATGTGTATTTCTGAATAAGGATATAACAAGGATAATGCTTTGCATACGTTGCTAATATAATGTGAATTGAAACTCACTCAGTCTGGATGTCTGAAGTGCTTCACTAAGTTAAAAGTGTTTCCTCCTTTAGTCTGAAAAGTTGATGGTACTGTTTATATTTTACTGTTTGTGTGAGTGTATTATTCCCCCCTTTCTTTTTGACGACTCGAGGCGGAGCTGTTGCTGGAGCTGCACTTGTCGCCCTCTTTCAGCTTCACTTCACTTCTTGGCATCCTCTCCCCACCCCAAAGGACAATAATAACAAAAAAAATGAAAATTATAAATGAAATTTGGATGTGACTCTGTTTGAATGTCTGCACACATGAGATAAACTGTTAACATTAGTTCAGCTTGCTGACTGCTGCTGCTGCAGAGAAAAGCAACACTTGTAACCACAGACATCCTGCTGAAATGGTCTGTCCATACTTGGGACCTGCGCTAATGAAGAAGTTCTCACCAGAATTATCTGACATCAACACCTTTCTTTAAATACCAGTCTTATTCATGTTTTAAAAATAAAGGCTTACTTAGAAAAGTAGCTTGTTAGACATTATTTATATCTGATCATGTGTGGTTTGACATAGAAGAATTGAGCTTTGACCAATGTCTGAATTGTATTAAATGTTTTTACCATATTTAGAAGAGCTCTTGAGTTCTTCCTGATCTCCACCTGTATAAGAGAGGGACATGAAAAGGTTTCTCTCACTCTGAGGCGCCGCTCCTGTTGCTTTTCTGATCATTGTAGATTAGACTTTTTATATTTTTACTTTCTTTATTTCTTGAAATACATTTTCTAAGGAGAACTAGAGAAGGAAGTTTTTGTTACAGCTGGCATAGCATTCTTAGCAGCTGAATGCATAGAGGATTTTGATAAATCATATTATATTTGTTCAGCTTTAAATAAAAACAGATTGTTCATCCTACAATCAAAAGACCATTCCTGTAAGACTCTTCTCTGAACGCCGACTGCCACAGCCTCTCATCTAAAGGTATGGGTCCTCTTTGGGACAGG